GGCCCTGAAGCCCCTTCCTCTGGGCCAAGAGCAGTGGGACAGAAGGTGGCCCAAAAGCCCTTTCCTCTGGGCTGGGAGCAGTGGGAGGGATGGTGTCTGGGAAGCCCCTTCTTCTGGACCAGGAGCAGTGGGACAATGGCTCAGAAGCCCCTACCTCTGAGCCGGGAACATTGGGACTCAGTACCTTGGTCTGGTGGTCTGGTGTCCTTTGCGTCTTTGTAGTGTGGAACCAGGTGGCTGCCTGTCTGCAGCGGGGTGATTAGGCATCTTCTGCCTGACTCAGGACCTCAGTAGGGCGTGCACAGACCTGCCTGTCTGCAGAGGGCTGACTGGGCATGCTCTCTTTGAGCCAGGACCTTGGCAGGGCGTGGGCAGACCTGTCCATCTGCAGCAGGGTGACTCGGCATCCCCCACGCAACTCAGGACCTCGGCAGGGCGTTGAAGTACACAACTTTTGAAGGTATATCACAATGCAATGCTAATTTGTTATACAAAAGGCTTCTATGGTGTTTTATCATGGACATTGATTTAGTTCTTCAGTTTTTTAGTTTCAAAATGAGCATAGATTCAGAATAAATAGCACAGAAGAATCTAGTCAAAGACATGTTACTTTTAAAATTTTATCTTCACATAACCCCTTCATTTATTCTAATTGTGTCCTTATTTTCAACATTAGCACTAGTTATGTATACTTTGTTTTTGTTTGTAATAAATTTTGCCAGTTTTTACTAGCTTCTAGGGTTTTTTTTGTTTTTGTTATCTGTTTTTTGGTATTGATCTTCACTTTTTATAGTTTAATTCATGAAATTGTGCATTTAATCTTTGCTTTCTAGTTTAACTCAGTTTTTCTACCTTATTTCCTAGAAATATATGGAGTATTGTATATAAAGAGTTAAATATGTCTCACTAAGAACATAATATAACAGAGTCCTACAAATTTCTAATATAGTACATTTGCTGAAATCGACTTCAAATTTTCACACTTTGCATTAATTCTTCCCACAAATTGTTTAGAATTTAGGTGTATTTTTTTGTTTAGATTACTAATATGGAGAACATTTTTTTACTTATTTTATAAATTAATTGCATTTTGGTCTAAAAATGAATTCTACATGATATCAATTTCTCACTATATAGAGAGATTTCTTATAAACCTAATAGGTGGATTGGTTTTATAAGTAATCTGTGGTTTTGAAAAAATCTGTAGTTTCCAACTGGTTTGGCTATACTGACAAATAGATCAGGTTTTTATTATTTTTATTATTCAAATTATCTTTACCATAACCTCTCCCCTTACCAAAGGGAAGAGATCAGGTTACAGGCTAGAATCTGGAAAGAATCCATATATAGCTTGTGTTTAAAACTCTAGGAAGAGATGTAGATAGAGACTAGGCTGGAGCTCATCAGTGGGTTGGGAAGGAAGAGTCACTGAGATCAAAGGAGAGAAGGGTGTGTTTCCAGAAGAAGCACATACAACTATGTACAGTACACAGTACTCGATAGTGTGATAAATGACTTTTATTGTTTTAGGTACTTGTCATACCATGCTGTGTTTTTCATCCTTTAGAGCATAATCCTACTTATATAAAAGAGTTTACTGTAAAACAGTGTGCTGCTATGCCAGTGGTAGCCTCATGTATCTTGGGTTTAACTGTGTATTTGGATAATATCAAGGGGCCATCACAGGTGATTAATGTGTACCTTTTCAGTTTGCACTTAGAAGTTGGCACTCTGTGTGGTACTTTGCGATACACATGGATGAAATTGCCTGATAACATATTTCTCAGATTATATTTCCATCACGTGTGACATGACTGTATTGAAATTTAAATTTAAAAAAATTTGACCTATGTGGAGTCTACTAGTTAATTAGAATTTTTTCTCCAGACCACTATTTGTTCAGTATTAGTTTTGAAAATCTTTCTAAAACAAATCACATCTTCTGATTTTTTGTTAATACTTAAGATTTTTAAAAAATTATATGGAAAAATGTTTAAGTACTTTTCAGTTTGGGTTTGGTTCAGTTCTATTACATTTGAATATTATTATAGTTTTTTTCCCTTGCATTGTTTTTCTTTGAATAATTTTATTTTTTGTATATGTGTGTGTTTAGTAAACAATAATAAAGTTATACATTAATAAAAAATAATCTGGCATAGGTATATTAATACCAGAGAAGCTAGATATTAAGAAAAAGTATTATATGTAATAGTGTATGCAATTGTAACTTTCAACTCAACATAAGGTTAAACCTGTTAAACAGGTTTTAACAGGTTAAAACATTTCTCAGTTTGTAAGCATGAAACAGTATTGCCTCAAAATGTGTGAGGTAAAAGTGGACATAAATCAGAATTGGACAATTGAATGTCATCCTTTAAAGTTAAAGTAATGGTAAAGATATATTCTTATATATTTACAATTGATTATGCTTAAGGTGTCTGATGTGTATTTTAGGTTCAACTCTGAAATGATTTTACGATATCTTCGCACATTTCTAATGATCTCAAGGGGTATGAAGACCTGTTAAAAATTCTCAAAGTAATTTATGTTAAACTTATTTTAATTGAATAAATATTCAGCATGTTTATAGTAGCTGACACCAGAGAGTTATAAATTTTGGAAATAATTACAAGGTTTCATAAATTGCACATTATTATAAAACTGAGGAAAATAACAAATTTATCTTCCTTATCTTTCTAGAACTTCCCTCTTATTTCTGGACGCAATATGAAGAAATGCTTAATACAATATTTTTCAATATTATTAAGTCCCCATGGGAAGACAGGAGGTTTACATTTTCTAAATAAGGCTATGATTGAGGGACTACATCTACTTGATAATAATAAATCCAAGATTGTGATTCAAAGGAAATTGGAGATCTCGAAGTATGAAATATTTCTCTTATTAATAGAACAAAAGAGAACATCATTTTATAAAATTACCAGTCATTTTGCAGAAAATATATCAGTCTCCATAATAAAAAATAAGTTTATTATTTGGTTAGGTAATTTTAAGCCACAAGAATACATTCTCTTCCTGAGGTTGCTGAAATTTATTGATATATTTGACTGATTACCCAAATGTATGTTGAAAGGTATCCTCTTGTATCTTTTGAAAACTCAAAGATCTTTTATCACTTAAACATAGAGCAAAGAATATATTCTACAGTTTTCAAACTTAAACATTTATCCATATTTACTTGACAGTTTTGTTCTTTGTTATGTGAACTACACTCTTTGAGATGACATAAATTCAAACTAAAGCAAAAAATAAATAATAATATTAAATACTATTATTGAAAAATATCTAATGTAGATTGTGACCTTCATTCTAATTGCTTGGGATCAGAAGTATTTCAGATTTCAGATTTTGGAATATTTGCACATATACAATGAGTTATCTTGAGGATGGGGCCTAAATTTAAAGAGGAAATTCATTTATTTCTCATACTTCCCTTATGGATACAGCCTAAAGATAATTTTGTATAGTATTTTTAGGGTACCTGCATTGTGACTGTAGCCTGTCAAGAGGTCAGATGTGGATTTGTCATGTCAGCACTCACAAAGTTACAGATTTTGAAGCAGTTCAGATTTTCACGTCAGGGATGCTTAACCTGTATTTGGATGAGTGAGATACAAATAAATTATTAATATATTTATTGTTGTATATATTTTTAAAAGCCTATATTGTTAAAAAGTATATAATCAAATCATCACATAAGGTTCTTAGAGATTAAATAAGGGAGGAGTGGCCCCAGTAATAATTCATTGACCACAGTTTGTGTCATGCTCTGTGTTGGGTACTAAAATAGGGAAATGTACCAGATGTGCTTTCTAACTAGTAGAAGGAGATGTACATGTAAATAAATATAATAGTATGTTGTTTAATATATATATTGCTTTGGATGCATGACACATATACAGAGTCTAGCAGGGAGGGGGGAAAGAATGAGAGAGGAAGGAGAAAAAGAGATTATTAAGCAATAAGCATAGTGAAAATTCTTCATACACAAAAAAGGAGGAATGAGACCTTGAGAAGGAGAAATTGTGACAAAGTTACAGAGCCATGAAAGGTTTTGGAAATTTGAAAACTGATTACTGTAATGATTTATTATGGCTGAAATACAGTATAAGAAATAGCACAGAGTAAGAAACAACAGTAGGAGGGAAGATTGGTGATCTCTAGGCTCCTTAAGAAAGTCCTGGCTGGGCTGGGGATTTAGCTCAGCGGTTCCAGTGCCTGCCATGCAAGCACAAGGTCTCGAGTTCCATCCCCAGTACCAAAATAAATAAATAAATAAATAAAAGAAAGTCAGTCCTGGTAAGGACTCTGGATCCTTGCTAGAGCAGTATTAACCCTATCTACAGATATAATGGTGAGTTTTTCCAATATTTAATTTGCCACTTTCACTATATTTGCATATCATTTAAACATTCATTTACTTTATCTCATATCAGTTGTACTTCAGAATATTTTTATGTTTATTCTTGCTCCAACTTTTCTTCATCAAGTTTGACAAACTTCATTATTTTATCTTTACATACTTCGTTTATTAGAAGTATCTAATAAATGTTGATGTAGAACTGGTAAATTTTATGCATCAGTTATGAAAATGTAGATTGTTTTAACTTCAGTGGGCTGATCTATTCACAGCAGCTTCTTTGTAATTTATGAAAAAATACTAAAGATAGGGATTATTTTTAAAATTAGAAGACACACAAGAAGCTCATCAGCTCAGAACTCTATGTTATGACCATGTTATTTCTGTTTTAAAAAAGTGAATTTTAATAATAGAAAATTTATTGATAACACTGAGGGACACTGCTTTGGAAATCATCTAGATGCCTGCTCAGTATTTTGAAGGAAAATGGTCAGGTTGATATGGGTGTTCTGTCTATAATATGACTTTTAGTCTACTCAAGGACAGTCTATGAATGAATGTATGACTTATTAAAAATATAATTTATGATACCCAGAGAAAAATTGGAAAGAATACACAGAGGTATCAATAAAAAATTAAAAGCATGATTAACATTATTGCTTAAAGACACCATTGTTCTAGAAACAAATTTACTCATTCAAAGGAATGTAAACATTGATGCTTTGGGAACATAAGCACAATTGTGCTCTCACATACTTGTGCCAACATGCACTCTTTATGGCACTGAAGACTGTCTAGGCCATGAGTTTTTGGTGTTTTTTTTGTGGTACCAGGGATTGAACTCAGGACCTCGTGTTCCACTGAGCTAAATCCCCGGCCTGGCCGTCTTCTCACTTGTATTGAATATTGTCATTGAAAATAATTGAAACTACACATCATCTTTATGAAATTACGTTTTCCACTTGAATCTTTCCTAACTTACCTTTTGATTAATTTTTTATAGAGGATCAGTTTTGAGAAGAAATACCCATTATAATTTTATATAATATTTAAAGTTTGTTGATACATTCATTAAAGAAATTTTAATATGTTAACTTTAGTGTAGAAAGTTACACATTTGTTAAAAGGGAAAAGAAATAGTTAACTTCATATCCCAAATAATAGAAATAAATTCTTGAAATAAAGTTCTGATAAGGTAGTTGAAGACATAAAGCTGGTCTCATATTTTGGTTATAGCACATTTGTTTTTAACTTTTCAGTGCATAAGTTTTAGATCGACTTTGAGAATTTTTTTGGTTTTGCTTTGTTTTGGTGCCAGGGATTGAACTCAGGTCCTTGCACTTGTGGGGCAGGTGGCAGCACCACTGAGCTAAATCCCCAGCCCAAGAAGTTTTAATGTAAAGTAACTTCTAAGAAAGGCAGGGTTGCTATAAACCTTTTTTAGGGAGGATGGGAAAAAGGACACTTTCTTATGATCCATTTATTCATATTGTCCTTGAAGACTGTACTTGAGCATAGTGTGTGATAATTACAAAAATATACACATAGACACATGTAAGAATGCTGTGCTAATTGCTTGTTAGGGCTAATGACATATCCAGGGGAATTAGTTGTGAATATTGCACCTTACGTATTTCATTCAGAAGACTATAACTCTTAGACACAAGTAGATATCATCCATTCAAAAGTTTTGGACAACTGTACCTTTCATATTTCCCCATTATTTTTTCTATACATTAAATTCATTTTAAATATTCACCTTTTCATAAAACTATTTCATTTAAGTTGCAATCAAAATAACATTCTTCTAAGAATATGTGGCTAGAGAATTCCTGACTCTTAATTACAATTTTTTAAGACTGTAGAAATCCATTAAATGAAGAACTAATTTTGGACAAATGATACTGAAATGAATAGCTTATATGAAGTAGTTCTCTACGAAAAATGTCCAAATTGCTAACCATTTGGAATATTCTCCAACATTTAAAATTACACATATCTTTTTGCTATTTTTGCAGAATGAATATTCTTTGGTAATACTAGTTCATCTAAGCAATACTTTGATGAATTTGTGGTCAAACAAATTATATTAGGATGTTAAGGGATTAAAAGCATTAGAGGATTGAAAAAATACTTTCTCTTCAGTTTCATCGGGCTTTGATTATATATTTTTATAATGTATTAATAAGTATCTCTTAGAAAAGAAAAAATATGCCTCCTCAGTTATAAGATGCCACTTAACACAGGGTAAAGCAAAAATCATTCTTCCAGAAGGCTCCTACAGGATATGCTGTGGTGCACTGTAAAGGGCCCTTCTATTCTAGTACAATCAGACCTTGGACCGAAAAAGATTTCATGAAGTATCCTTGGACTTGCAGCATCTACCTGAAAATTCCAGAGGCCAATAACACAATATGCAAACACACCAACTAAGCTGAAAGCCCAAAGAGAATGTAGATTAACACAGAGGATAAACTGTTACTCTGATGTTGAACCAAGATTCTTGGAAGGAACTAAAGAACTCTCTGATTGACATTACCTTTGGATCCTAGAGGAGACAAAGAAAAATTTACTTGGAAGAAAACATCTCCAGGTTAGGCCCTTCGGAGTCTCACTCTTTAAAAGCAACTAAATGTCAGCCTAAGATCAAAGATCACAAAATATGAAATGAAACCCACCATGAGAGGCAGCCAAAAGAAACAACATGCCAGATATAGACACGGACAAGTATCAAATAGAGAAATGATCACACGTAAAATAAAATATAAACTATGCATGAAATATGTGAATGATAAAGTGGAGTCACAAAAAATGAGAGTGGGCTGGGGATTTAGCTCAGTGATTTTGCCGCCTGCTGTGCAAGCTCAAGGACCAGAGTTCTATCCCCGGTAAGAAAGAAAGAAAGAAAGAAAGAAAGAAAGAAAGAAAGAAAGAAAGAAAGAAAGAAAGAA